TAACAAACTTCTGCATTTCCTAATAATCTAGAAAGTCCCCGGCAACGGCGCCAAAAACTTGACTCGCTAGAACACAACACCTAACAATGGCCAAGTGTAACCAATGAAAGGGACTGCAGTATAGTGGCACAAGTAATAAATATCGAATCCACGGGTCTCTAGAGTTACTATTACTCAGCTTCAGTTCATTATCTAGCAAACTAGATTAAAGATTGATTTACTAAACTACTATACTAAGTACTCTACTAATTACAAGTTGGGAACTCACTTAGGTATGATTCCCCCTAGCTCCTCAATTAGGTCCAAGTTGCAATTACTTTTGGTTGATCTACTGTTGATTAAACTGCGGAAGATCCTAAATTAGCTTGGAATCTCTTAAGCTGACCAAGCCCTCTTAGACAGAATACCCGGCAGGCGACTAGCCTTCACCGGGATAGACCGCTAAGGCAATTCACACAGATCTCCACCACTGGAATGAATTCCAGTACAAGACATTGAATTGATTGACTCTCGCACAACCAATTCACCACTACCAATCAAGGAAGCTCTCTTAACCTAATCAGATTCTATCTATCAGAGGTTAAAGCAGAAATCAAGAGAAGATGATCAGACTTCAATTGACTCTATAAAACATGCCTCAATCGATTATAATCAAACAGTATAACATCCAAAACTTCATACAAGAAAGATCCTAACACATGGAACTAGAGTTCCTCAAAACCTAAGTGAAGGGAAGTTACTCCATAGAGAAGAGAGAGACTGCAGAAATCTTATCTATATCTTCAATCTCCATCTCCAAGCTTGATTCTCGAGCTCCAATAGTGAAGAAATCCTCCAAAATAGCTCCAAGAATGTTCCCAAGTCGCTCTCTCTCTCTAGGGTTCGTCCCTTGGGTGTTTGGGAACCAAAACCCAGCTCTCCCTTTCCTTTGGCTCGAATCTGCCTCAAAAACCCGATTATGGGCGAAATACGGGCAGAAATACGGTCGTAATTCTTCCATGCCCGTATTTTGCCCAAAACACGCGTTTTGGTTAAGTTTTAGCGCATCCAAAGCTCCTCTCGGCAGTGAAAATACGGGCATGGGAGAGGAAAATACGGTCGTAATTCTTCTGCCCATAATTCTTCCTCCGCCCTTGTTTAATGCTTCGTTTCTCCCTCGTCCGGACTCCGAATCAGTCGGCGTTTTATCCCAGACGCTCGTAGTCTCGTCCTCTATCTTTTCATGACAAGATTCCATGATTATTTGTCCATAACATGAGGTAGAAGTCCATTCTTCCTTAGTTCATGCTCGTGTTTCTTCTCCCGAATTGCCAAATGATCTCCGATTGACTTGAAACTTGCGCCTATGCTTCAATTTACATGATAGGACCTGAAATGTGACAAAGGAACACAACCTAACATAAAATATTTCAAGAAAGCAAAAACTCAAGATCAAGAAACGAGGGTGCAAGCATGTGCAAATATGACGTTATCAGAGGTCGACCTGATTGAGATAAGGGTCGACCAAATGGTATTATGTACGCAACAATACATCAAATTAGACGGTGGAAATTGAGCATTAGACAAGATGATGGCGAATGCTACATTAGGTCGACCTTACCTTCAACGTGGTCGACCTCTTTTAACACGTACAATAGCAACCGCGAATGATCTTCTTCACAAAGGCTCTAACCATAAAACAAACCTAATTCAGAGTTTTGGTGGCGGTGAAGGTGACATATATTCATATTTATAGATATTTAGGACGTGAATGGGTCGAATTAAGTGAAAGATAAGTTAGGGTCACCTTTCTAGTGTTGGAATCCTTATCCAATATGGATACGGTGTGCATGAGGTCGACCTCGTACTTATGCGGTTGACCTATTAAGTACAAAATGGTCGGCCTATGAGGTATTTGGGTCGACCTTACACTCTGTTCACTTCCCAAAGAGGTCGACCATTTGCTATAGACGGTCAACCGCGTCGTTGAACCTCACAAAACTGAAACAGCATATTAGGTCGACCTAAACTTATTTATTTGGATTCAAATACATGGGAAATGAGTAAAGTTTAATGAGTTTATATCTATACTTATTTATTTGGATTTAGTTAGATTTTTAATCCATATATTTGGATTTAGTTAGATTTTTATACTCATATCCATATGCAATCGTACCTAAACTTAATACATCTTCAAATTTGGTACCTAAATTTAATTTGTTTGCAGATAATTCATCAAACTATCAATGGAAAATTATATTTTAGCACCTACAATTTGTGTGTATTACATTTGGATACCTAAGCTTTTTAAGTTATACAAATCGGTCCAACTTTTGTGTGGGTGACTAAAACACCCTCAAGTAAATAGGTATCCATACACATTTAGATTATGGAAGCAATATTCATACCCTACCCAAACTCATCTACGAACTCCTAACCTCATATATACTTCACCCATACCCGACCTATAATCAATGGGTCTACTTGGATTTGCGTAAAATCACTCATGAATTGGTAATTGCCATCCTAGTTAATCCTCGACTTGTTTTTCATTTATGTTACCATTTAATCGTAAAATTAGTCAGTTGATTACCATTCAATCGTTTTGTCAACCGAACTGGTTACAAATAGTGGTTCACTGACAACCAACTACGTAGTTATCAATTATCCAGATAAATGCCAACAATCATGTTGATGTGACTTGAATCGTACTATCAGCCGCTACGACTGGAATAGTTGGGGTCTCGTTGACCGGTCAGCGAGTGGGGTCCAGGCCCCAGGGACAACGCCCCCGAGTCGCGGTGTATGGGCTCAATGTTATTTAGGTTCGGGTTACTAGGCCTAGTCTGTAACTGTTTCCTTTGCCGGATTGGATTAGGTTTAGACCCACATGGAGAAGTATAAATACTTCTCATCTCCTCTGTAATCTATAATCTCTTCGATATAGTGAAACTGGCTCTCTCGCCCGTGGACTAGTTAACACACATCGTTCTAGTGAACCCACGTAAATCGTGTGTCGTGTTTTCGATTCTCGCTTTCGTATTCTTAATTTCTCGATTCCGACGATTTCCCGATCAGTAACAGCGCGTTTATAAAAATTAAATGTTAATCCTTCAAAAATTGTCAAGTTAACAGTTAAGTCATCACTCAAAGAGTACAGTACCCCCAAGGAGCGGGAAGGCCCTACGTAGTCAATAAAAAACAAAATAGTAAATAAAATAATTAATTGAAGAGAAGCTAATAATAATAATAATAATAATAATAATAATAGAATTAATTGTAGTTGGAACTGGAAGTCTCGTGGGCGTGTGGGGATCAGTGGGGACCACCACAGTCACAGAGGGAAGAGGAGCGTGCCCTCTGCCTTTGGGCTCTGGTAAAGTGCCAGCTAAGCAACCCCTCTCTCTCTCTCTCTCTCTCTCTCATTTTCTATTCCTTGCTTTGTGGTGGTTCGTTGCCTTTGCGTTGTTCTGTTTGCGGTCTTTGATGTGGAGTTTGACCACTTTGATTACGTTTGCTTTTTCTTTTTTCGGGACCCAACCCAACCCAACTGCACTCGACACGTGGGGTGGGGGATAAGGTTTGGGTTTTTCTTTCTTCTAGGACGAAATTTCTACCATTTTGGTCCTTCAACTTTCACTGTCTTACAATCCTACCACTGTAACTGTATTATTACTCCACTACTTGACAAACGCAGTCTCGAGTCTCGACCTCATCCCACTTACTCAAGCAGTTTGTCGAGTGAGTATTTATTTAACGTCACTTATTTTACGGTTAATTATTTATTTATTTAGTTTTTGTATTTGTGAGATGAAATTAAGAAATGATTAAATTTTATTATTTATTTATTATCTTTTAATTGACAAGTCACTTATTTAACGGTCGATTATTTGAGTTGACCACCACTTAGGATATATTGAATAGAGATGGACGAAGAGTGACCATTGATGATACGAAAAATGTAAAGTTAATGATCATGAATGAAATTAAATATTTTAAGTGACTAAACGTTACCGTTTTTAATAATCTCAGTGACCAACCTTCTCATATTTATCCAATCTTGATTATTATAATTTGAAGGGAGGGATAGCGTCAGAAATCAAACACATAAAAATGAGCGAGCAAAGCAAGCAAGCATTTGTTTGACTAATATTATTCTTTTCTTTGATAGCGATGCCTTTCTCTGCCTCGCCCCCATGTTTGCTTTCTGTTGTTTTTATTTAACCCTTTCTTCTTCTCCCCACCAATTTTTTTAATACAAATCCAAATCTGAATCTAATGGGAAATAGTTAATTCAAACGTAGTATAATAAAGTTAGAACACATTAGTTTTTAAGACATGAAAAATCACTGATTCCTATTTTAATTGTTGTTATTATCGAAAATATCATTCACTTATAAGAAATGTTGTCAAGACCAAATAATTTTTTCTTATAATTTACAATCATTTCCGACGAAATTTCCTCTTTATACTAAAAACCTATTATTCGTTAAGAAAAAAGGGTTCTATATTATTACCCAACAATGGCCAATGGTTGAGTGTTAGAATTGCATGCATAGAAATTGGCTACGGAATTAAAAAAAAAGAATTTAGCAAAAAATTTATTACAATTCTACACCTTTTCTGATTTCTTCAAATTTACTGGATTGCACTTCCCTGTGTCACCAAAATATTCGTCAAAATTCCTTCAATAAAATTTAAAAAGATCCTTTCGCAGACCCTAATAAAAGAAAAAATAAAATTGAATCTTCTTTCTTTCTTCTTCTCCAGCTCGACCAATGGGCCTCTCTGTTGATATCAGTACTCGACAAACTGCTGTACAACACGTGAGGGCCAAAGCTTTCTTAATCTTCTTTTTCTTTACATTCAAAATTCTGGGAAAAGAAAAGATCCTTTGAATAATGTGGGTTACGACCCGACCCACCCACCTTGTGTATTCAATTTGACCATCCGTCTCTTAAACCCACAGAGAAAGCTCAACTCTGGTCCTTCCTTCCTTCCTTCCAAATCTTGGTCAAAAAGAATTATAACTCCCTTTATTATTTACCCTTTTAACCCAACTCATCAAATTTCCCATCTCATTTCTGAGTTCCATCAAATCATCAACAAACCAATCAACAAGGTTTAAGAATCTGTCAATGGTGAAAACTAGAATTCATTTACAGTCACAGAGCTCTCCATATATGAATCAACCAACTTATTAGCTTACAACAAAAGATGGAAGATTTTTCTATATAAGAAACTTCGCCTCCTTCCACTCCATACCCACCATGGACCCAACTTGTGCAGCAGCAGCACAAAAGTTCTTTGCACCATAGATGAGATAGATAGAAAGAAAGAAAAGAACGTCAAGAACTTCTTTTTATTGGCCCAAATACCGAGTTCTCACGATCAATCGAAACCCCATTTTTGCCAGACAAAATCATTGTGTTCTTAGGTTCAAATTTACAGGGTTCACACAAAAATGCAGATACCTTTCTTTCCTTATTCTCCTAGCTACTCCATTGATACATCGGTTTCAACACCTTCACACCACCATCATCATTCATTGAGTCTTTCCTTGTGAGCCAGCAACATTCAGAGCTTCCCCCAGTTTCAGATCAGGACTTCAGCTCATCTTTAAGCTTTGCAAACTGCCCATGATCCCTCGTCTTCGGGTGTACTGCCATCCGTACCTTCACCGCATATAGAATTGTCTTCGGCAGTCATTCGGCATCATGTCCGATCTCAGCCTTTCGAATACAGTTATGCTGGATATATGTGGCTTTCATGCATCATTCGATGACCCTGGACCAAATTGCTTTCCGGCCACAACCCCCAGCTGGGTTTCGCCACTCATTCATATACATAAATCAAGCAAAACTGCTTCACAATCAAATAATGAAAGAGTTGTCTATATAAGAAAACACCCCAATACCCATTGGACCAACTTATAGGGCACAAACTTCTTGCAGGCAGCAAAGGCTCCTTATGCTTCTGACAGAATAATGTCAACTTTCTGGTACAGATTTTGGCTGCGAAAGCGCCCAACTTCTTCTCCAATTCAGCGTCATCCATCATGGGTTATTGTTGAAATTTACATGGGGGTGCGACACAAAGAATCTGAGTACCTATCTCTTTATTGTTCCATCCTTCATTATCATTGTATAGTCGTGGTGAGCTTACACTTGGAGATGAAATTCGTGGCGGTATAATTTGAGCTACACAACTTCAAAAGCTCGGCTGATCTCTGCTTCAACACGGGGTTATAACAACTCTGTATCACCAGAAGTAATTTGGCAGCCAAACCTGCCTCCACAGCAAGAGCCCCACATTCCTCCGGGGCTAGCTTGCATACTGCCCACAAAATCGCCAATGCCAATTGGGTACAACTCTCAGAGACCTTCATCAACAATTTCACCATGTTTGGGATTGTCTTGGCACATTCCTTTAGGGCTAATCTCCCCTCTGGCACAGTAGAAAGAACCTCGAGAATGTGAAGTGCCAATTCGATGCAATCGGCTTTGAAGCCAGGCAACAGCTCCACCAATTGGGAAACTGCGCCAATGCTTACAATGGAAGCTCTTAACGACTCATGAGAGCAAATTGCCTTCAGCAATCTGAGTCCTGCAATCACCCCATTTGGGTGCCTCTCATTCTTCACTAGCTTCAACAATCCAACCAAAAGAGACAAACTCGAAACATTCTCCGACACGAAATCTTTACCTTCCATGAGCATTTCAATCAGCCTCGTGCAGTTGATTCTCGTCTCAATCGACCCTTCATTCAACATATCCACCATCAACGAAATCTTGGCTGGCTGGGTCAAATTGGTTTTCCCCGAGTAATCAAGATCCAAACTGACCAGAATTGCAATTACCTCGGAACCCACTGCGTGCGTGGTGAAAGGACCCAGTAGAGAGGACAGCGACCCGACGCCTCCATTATCGACAAGTGACTTCCTCGCGGTGGAATGCGCGGCGGCGAGTTGCCGGAGCTCCTTGAGAGCTTCAATTCTAGACTGCCCTTTCGCCTTCTTGAGAATCTCGAGGACTTCAATGGCTCTCCCCTGAACATCTTGGGACCGCTTTTTCATGGCGGAGTATTTCGTAGCGAACCAGGTGTGGATTAGCTGCTGGAGAGTGGCGTTGGGGGTTACGGAGTCATCCCAGAGCTCCTGCATCGTCGTCGGGCAAGTGTAGTGCCCCATTGAGAACCATTTCAAGATGTTGGATCTCTCGTAGGTCTGACCCGTGCAGAGCGTAACCGGGTCGCGCATCGGGTCGAGCGAAATCGGGCAGATGAAAACCGACGGCACTTCCACGGCTTCCAGCTCTTCAATCATTTTCTTCAGATCTAATTTCTCCGCCGCGGCCGTGCTAATTAACCCACAACCGCCGCCGACACCGATTCCTCCGCCGCCTCCGAGAATGCCGTCTTTGACGGCGGTTTCCAGATCTAGGACTTGCCCACCAACGCCCACATCAAGACCCATCAAGGCTCCGTCCTTACGGAGTCGATTCGATTGATACACCGCCATTATTTGAGAGGAACCAAAGAAAAAAAAACCACAGCACTGAAACTGTGGAGAAGAGGAAGAGATGAATAATGGAGAGCGGGGAGGGAGAAGGGGAACTAATTATGAATTCCTCGCCATCTTCGTCGGACAGTCACATCCACAGAGAGACAAGAAACGTGTGGGAAAGCAAAAAGAGAAAGAGACGGATGGATAGCAGAAATAGGCCTTCTCTCTCTTTCACTCTTTCCCCCTTCTTCCTTTTTTTTCCACTCTTCCGCCCCTCTAATTCTCTGTCATTGACGAACACAGTAACGAGAGAAAGAACAGTGAGCCCCTCTCTCTCAAAAAGAAGAAAGCAGAGCTGGAGAGAGACAAAGAAGAGGAGGAAGAGGAAGACTCGACCCTTTTATTTTTCCCCTCTCTTTCAACTGTAGTATTGGGCTGCTTTTACACAATGGGTGCTGGCCCCATCTCTTGTTTGTTGTTTTTTCTTTTCCTGGTCAAAAAGGGGACAGCCACCAACAGTCGTCATCTTCCTTCTTCTTCATCATCTGCTGTTGCTGCATCATGATCTCACACCCCATCATTTTTCCACCTTCAACAATCCAAACCCAACAAATTATTTTTAATAATAGTAAGAAGAATCAACCAAAGTGATACTCCAGGGCCGGGGTCGGAAGTGGATCCGAAATAATGCAATCTTGCTTCTCTAATACCAAAGCTCTAAAGTGGGTAAATGATGGAAGGGAGAAAAGGGCAGATAGATCGAGTGAGAGAGAAAGAGGAATCAAAAGCTCTTTGTTGATGGGGGCAAAAAGATGCCAATTAGTACACTCTGCAAGTAGAAGAAGAGGGAAGGGGAAGGCAAATCTCAGTAGCTTGTAGTTGTAGAAGTAGTAGAGCCCACCAACTGGGTTAGTGTGTGAAGGAGAAAGGGGGGTCGTAGTAATAATCAGAGGTGGAGATGGAAGTGAGAAGCTTTTTTCTGTGCGTGCAGGCTGAATTTGCTCTCCCAGTAATGGGAATGGTGGGAGGAAAATTTGTGGGTTGAAAGAGAAAGGAAAAAGTAAGTTGAGGTTTTTATCTTCTTTTGCTATGGGCCCACTTGCTGCTTCCCTTTGTTCAGTTGTTTAGGGTTTGGACTGGAATGTAAGGGTAGGAAAATAAGAGGTACTGAAAGCGAAAGGAGAATAAGTTTGGAGGGACTGGATTGGCATTTTGTGCGGAGGTGGGTCAGTGGTTGTTTGGTGCGTGTTGGAGACGGTAAAATCTAGGAATTGGAGAAGGGGGGAAGAGGGAAAAAGATGGACGATTTTACGGTCTTACCCCTTTTGGATGACCGAAAGAAAAGGAGCGGGGGAAGGGCCCACACGACCAGACAGGGGATTGGCATATGGAGTTAACGTTGTCTTGGACTGGGATGGGTTTGGCAGGTAATTAGCTTAAATAGCTATAAAATTTTGAATTTATAAAATGCTCATTTTCTTTTTTCAAATTCAGTAACACACTAATTAACACTAGCATATGTTTTAACATATAAAAAAGTGATCATTTTCGTCGATCTACATTCAAAACTCTGTCAAATTTGTCCTATCATCCATCCACGTCATCCAAAATATGATAAAATAATTATACCTCACTATCCAACCACCTAACCTACTTAGCAAATGCGGACTAGCTTTCAAAGTACAATCTCGTCTACCCATACGGTAAGTATGAACTAACCGCGCCACCCTAAAGGATCCAACACATTATCAGAGATGATTGTAGATGAACCACTTTTACTAGGAGCATTGTGACTGCTCCCCACACTTCTCTCGCTCTGTAATCTCCTCCCCTCCCCCTTATATTTCTGTTTCTTCGGCTTTTGCCTCCCCTTACTCCAAAAAAATTAACACTTAGAATAATAAACTGAGCAATGGTTTGACAAAAAATTGTACGAAAAGATTATTTTGAAATCATTTTAAAACCTTATCAGTACAAAAATATTTGTTTCATAACAAATAAATTCACTTCTTTTAGAACCAGTCAACCAGGTAACAAAATGGTCATAAAAATTGTAAAACAAAGTTTGCAATATCAGTTTGATTCGGTAGGGTTTGATTAGTTCGACAGGTTAGTTTGATGGTGAAGTGGATTATTTATTTATATTGTTTATGACGTGGAGGACGATTTTAACAGAAAATTGAATGGAAATGAACAAAAATGATCATTTCATTATACATTCAAATATGTAATACCAAATAGTATAAAATAAAATTTTTGTAACAGTGTTGTACAAAGTTGTTTAAGCCCAGTACCCCCCTTTACACGTTCCACGCTCCGAGCCCCCCCCCCCCCCCCCCCCCCCCCCCGTCTGCTTGCTCAGCCGCCTCCCTGCACCCACACAAGCGCCTAGCGGACCAAATTGGCCCGTTAGCACTCAACGCTCAAGTAAGGACCTACTTTTTAGAGAGAGAAGTGAAGAAGCAGTTCTAGTAAGAGAAGCAAAAACTGAGTAAATGAGGTTTACCTACTCGACTATTTATACCCGGGGCGAGATCGACCGGTACACGTCGTTCTCGCCCTGTGTCACACCCGCCATAAATGCGCCGTACACCCCTAGATCATGCGCCTCGACCATCTGACGCTTCGGTCAGAGGTTGAAGGCGCATGACATCACCCGATCAGCTTTTCGTACACTTCCGACCGTTGGCTGCCTTTGTCTCATATGTCCCTCGTCAGGTGCCCGGTCCCACCTGTCTCACACGCTACCTCAGCCACCCTGGCCCAGGTCCGGGCGCCCTTCAGCCCAATGTTCCTGCTCCCATGGGCTTTCCAAGTCTTCTTAATTGGGCCTGCGCCCTCGGCCCATAATAACTTATCTTGGGCTTCTCCCTTCTGGGCCAGCCCATGTTCACTCCCCCAACAATTGCCCCCCAGTTAGGCGCCTAACACCCAAAGTTAGGGGCCTGACTGCGTATATTCTCCGCGCCCTTCTTTGATCCGCGTCCGCTCCCAAGGGCTCTCTTGAGGTCCATGCGCCTTTCTTCTCCGCTAGGCGTTCTCTCTTCGTACTATTTACTCTCTACTCCTCCCTCGTATTTCTCTTTTCTTATCCACGCTCTTTTCCTAATCGCCTATACGTGAGTATGCGTTCTTTTGCTTACCTATTATTTTTTCCTTTTTTTATATGTATATCTTTTCTTTTTTATTATATATATATCTTTTTTTTTTCTCTCGACTGCCCCCCCTTTTCCGCCTCTTTTTCTGTGCCGAGGTGTCCCTTGCGATTCCTCTCTCTTCCCTCCCCCCAATCCGTTCGCATTTTGAAATTCAAATTTCAAAATCGCGAGCGGATTGGGGAAGTCTCTTCGCCTCCCCTTCCTCTCTCTCCTTCACTCGCCAATGTCTCCCTATAAATTTCCTTCCTCCCCCCTCAACAGTCCTCACAATTTGCAAACTTCATCTCTCTACTTCCTCTCTCTAGCAATAAGCTCTCTCCCTTGCCCCCGGCTTTCCCTTCCCCACGCGCCTCGCTTGCTATGGCCTCCTCTCGTCAAATTCCCCTAAGCACCCATGCGCCTTCCGCCGAGACGGCCACCCCCAATCGCGGGTCCTCTCCACCTCCGAACGAGGCGCCTCCCACTTCATCTACGTCTTCGCAATCCCAAGCGCCCGTTGTTCGTGATACCACAACCGCCCCTGCGGCCCCCGCTACATCGAGTAAGTCTTTCTCTATGCGCCTTTCTTGTTGCAGTTGAATCGTTTTCTCCCGTCCCCTTCAACATGTTTCGCAACGTCTATCATAGGGTTCAGGCGCCCCCACGCACCTCGTTTTCATTTCATCATTTTTTTTTACACGCCACGCTTGTCATAGGGTTAAAGCGCCCCTACGCACTCCGTTACCTTACACCTTGCCCCTTCCTTTGACTCAGGCGCTTCTGTGTCCCAAGACTACATGTTTCGGCCATGGGACTCGATGTGGCCTCCCGGCTACGCGCCTCAAAACACTTACCTGTTGCCCCTAGAAGAAGTCGGTCCACACCACGCCTCGAAACAACTAGGGGTGCGCCTAGAAAAACTGGTCGTGTGCGCTCAATTACCTGCGTCGTGGAGATACATCCATGCGCCTCCCGAGGCGCGGATCGGGTTGTGCGGAGAGGGATGGGTGGGCTTGTATCAAGAGTTCATCCGATTCGGCCTACGCTTCCCCATCGAGCCTGTCCTTGAGGGCGTCATGGTTGCCTGCGCGTGTCCCCTCGCACGCCTTTCTCCCTCCATTATTCTGACTACTATTGCTTTTCGCTATCAGTGTCGAAGACATCATGCCCCCCACCTTTAGACTTTTCAAGCACTTCTTTAAAATGATCAAAAGTGACAACTGTCTGATCTTACAAAGGCGTCAAGCATTAGGGTACGGGTTCATCAGCAGCTGCCGGAAGATGGGGCGCTCGTGGTTTGACTCGTTTTTCTTCGTCAAACCACGCGAGGTGCCCTTCTTTGAGAGTGGGCGCCCTGTGAGTTCAAAGTGGTCTTTGGGGAACCTCTTCGCTTTTAACAAAGTGGAGCCCCTAAGCCAGACTGAGCTGGACATGGCGAAGAGTATATCGGCCCACCCTATCGATCTCGATGCTGGGGATGAGTACGCTCGTGTTCTCGCCGATTTCTACGGCGATGGTACTAACTATGCGCCCTCTCACAGCCTACGCGCCTTTGTTAATGTTGTGATGTATTTGTTCTAACACGTTTCTTTGCCTGGTACAGGGACTGACTTCACCTCGGTGACGAACCTGATCAAGTCAAAGCTTGACCGCCTCCGCAATGCCAACGTCGGCCAAGCCGCTCCAGCCAGTCAGGCGCCTCGTCCGGCCAGGACGCAGCCCACGTGGCTAAGGGTGAAAAGACCCACCGCTGTGAGCGCTTCTTCAAGGGGGCGCGACGCCTCGCCTACTCCGGCCGCCCCCGAAGGTGAGGCGGCCGTCCGTGACTCCCCTGCTTCGGATCCTCAGGCCTCCTCTGCCTCGGCCTCTCACTCCACGCCTCGGGAGACCGGCGGGGTGAGCACGCCTCCCTCGCCTTCCTCCGCTGGTTCTCGTAAAAGAGCTGGGGCGTCTTACAAGGCCAGGGGAAAAAAGGCAAGTCCGCCACCGTGCGCGAGCCCGGGCTGCCCCGCAGCTTTGTGGAGCCCACGATTGGGCAGCACACCGGGGAGGTGATTCCTCCATACCTCCAGTCTAGGCGCCTTCTAGTCAAGGTGCCAGTGGACGTGCGCGTCCGGGCGGCCAAAGATATCCCGACGGCTATGGCAATGGCCAAGGCGCACTACGACGTGGTAGAGCACCCTGGTGGCCTGATTTCCTATAAGCCCTGGACGAAGCTGACGAACATGAGCGTCCAGGTAATGAGGCACATAATACTTTCCTTTACCGATTTGCGGCCCCCGTTATCAATTGAATGTTTGGGTACTAACTGCTTTCCCTCTTTCATCGATGCGCCTCAGATGATGCTCCTCTCCGAGGCCACCACGCGTGAAATTGCCTAGATAGAGCGAGAGGGCACGGATGCCGCCATCTCCGCCGAGCGCCTGCGGGCGGATTTGGATGCTGCCAAATCTGACCTGGACGCAAAGTTGGCGGCCGAGCGCCTCAAGGCCCGAGCCGAGCTGGAGGGAGAAGTCAAGGCGCAGGCCGAGTGGGAGAAAGTGACCCGTGAGCTCCGAGAGAGGAGCGCCGCGCTCGTTCGGGAGCGGGATGCCCTGCTGGATGAGAAAAGCGTGCTGCGCCAGGCTGTCGACGACTTGGAGGAGGCGCATAAAAAGACCAAGAAGTCCCGGGCGCATTACAAGCGCGAGCTGAAGAAGTCTCAAGCCGAGGTGGAGCGCCTGAACCGGAACTTGGCTGACTACCCCGAATCAGATGCTGGCAAAGATCTCCAAGCCAACGTCGTGATTAGCACCGTGGAGATAATCCAGGCTAAGTTCCAGGCCGACCATCCAGAAGTGGCCTTCGACGCAATCGCTCTCATTGAGCACGTTGTGAAGGCCATCGAAAGTCAGTCGGGCGCCTCAGGTGCCGGAGATGCTCCGCCGGCGGATGGTGATGCGCCTAGTGGTGGGGGAGGCGGTGTGGCCGCGGAGGTAGAGGAGGAGGAGGAGGAGGTCGACGAGGAGATCAGTGTCGAGTAGGGTTTTCTTGCAACTGTTTTTTTTTTAGTTATTTATTTAATGAACAAGTAGTTTGTTTCTTGCAATTGTTTTTTCCCCTTCTGAACTAGCGAGTAAGGGCGCATTACCCCTGCCTTAATGCTTTGCTTCTGACGTTACCCGAGGCGCGTTAGGTATCGCGCGATTAATTGTTTCTGCTGGCATATCGGGGGCGCGATTGCAGGGGCGCAAACTTAAGGCTCAATTGGATTAGGGTGCTTTACTCTTGGCTGCCTCCTACGCAAAATTTGC